CAACTCCACCCATGACATGAATAAAAAATATCTGTATCATGCATTTTGGAAAGGAAATGATGTTGCAGTCAGTGAAAAGATCAGAGATCGTTTTGGGCACTGTGGTAGAGGACAGACCTAGATCAAGAAGAGAGAGGTTGGCCAATAGGAAGTACATGGGGGTGTGTAAATGAGAGTCAATTATTACCGTGAACACAATGAAGAGGTTTCCTAGGATAATTCCCACATAGAACACAGAGAAGAACCCAAAGAGAAAAAGATGCATCTCCCATGAATTTGAAAGACCAATCAATACAAATTCAGATACCACAGAGTCATTTGGTCCATCCATTGGCTCAATCAGTAGAGAAGACGCTGAAGTATTCTGAAGGTAGAAAATAAGGAAGAATTGAGAAATATAGGTATTTCACATTGATAGGTTTTTGCCCCTCAGTGATTTTGCGGGAAATATGTTACAAGTGTCAAATTTTGAAGTTAGAACACATACAGAAAGGGCAGGTTAAAGGAAAATAAATAAATAGAAATGAGATAATCAAAAGTTAGGCTAGAGTGTCAAGGAAGGAAGTCATGTGGGTCTATATCAGGTAAATGGAGGAATTAGGAGCAGAGAGTAACATCTCCTGGTAGAGAGTTTCTTTACCATGCTCATTGTGCAATAGTTTGGGCTTCTTCAGTCTTCTCCGTATACATTCAAGAAAACATTTTACATGTCATAAATAGCCATAATTTGAATGTTCCAACTCTTAATCATATTTGTGCACACATACTGTAGCAGAATGTACTCTCTGATTATTCTTTTATTTCTTACCTGTGAAATCTCAGGCATTAATTACTCATGGAATAGTGACCAGCCAGTGAGTGAAAGAGTGTTGAATATTAGGGGAATCATAGCTTAAAATGAAAAAGGCTTGTCCTCTGATAGTTTCCAATATTGTGGTTGTAATATTGCAGCCAGTTAATTGCAAAGAGTTAAAATGTACTTTAAATCAGTGAAACTCTAAACCCTGGACTGTCAGCAGACTCAGGAAAAGGCTTTTCAGTACTTTTCTAGGATTGGGAGAGATTTTGTGCTTTTGAAAAGTCTGTTTTAGGATTAAGGAGTGGCAATTCAAATATGGAACTGAGAAATAATGGTGTTTTCACTGAAGCAAAATATTTAATTATGATACACTAAGAGCATGTAAAAATTACAAGACCCCCAAAAGTCATCAAAGATAAAGGTCATGAGAGCTTATCTTCAAATATTTGAAGCTTAGTTCAGCTAAAATGCTATTTGAAGGTGAGTAAAATTGCTACCAACAACTTTTTCAGGGGGAGTATCTGTTATCACTTTGAATAAGTGGAAAGGTTGAAGATGTGTATGTATATTATATACTTGGGTCCATTCATTATTTAACCTGAAGTGAAAAATTAAAGGTACACTTAAAAGATATAATAGGATATGAGAAGATATGCAGGAAGGGGAATTTCTAGAACTAATAACAACATGAGTGTGGCCATTATAAATGATGCAAATTTAGATTTATTGAAATCTCCACTAACTTACAAAGTAACAGAAATTGGTTACAAAAGAATATATGTTATGCAATAAAAATTATGTAAAGGAAGAAACAGACCTATAAATATAGAGAAGAACATGGTAGTTGCCTGAGGGGAGGGGGTTTGGGAGATGGGAAAAATGAGGTTAAGTTTAAGGTTAAATGGAGAGAGTGGAGTATGCATATATGTGATAGTTAGAAGTAGATTATTTTTATCACTATTATTTTGGTACTAGTTTTATAGTTTTACTTGTCTTTGTTAAACCAACATTTCTCAGTCAATAAATGACAATTTCTGGCTGTACTATGAAGAAAACCTTGGTGTTTTACACTTAATTTTAACCAGAAGTTTACAATGCTTTCTTGTTTAAAGAAAATTGATATATGTGAATGAGTTTTGGGTCAAGGAATACAAATGATTGGTAACTGAAAGGCATTTTACAGAATACCGGTGTGTTTGCTATTTCAAGAACAGGAAAGCACTATTATAAGCCACTCTACTTTGCCCACTGAAATTTATGGTTCCTAATATTTCTTTATAGTTGCTAAAACATATTAAAGACTGATGAAATCTGTCTAAAGAGAAAAGCTAAAAATGTGTAGTGAAAACAGACTTACCAGTAACCCTGCACAATAGTATGTTGTGATCACCCTGCTTTTTCTTTCCATTCCTTTTTCTTTCCTTTTCCCTTTTCTTTCCTTTTACTTCCTCTTCTTTCCTTTCCTTTGTTCTTTTCTTTCCTTCCCTTTTCTTTCTGTCTTTCCTTCTTTCTAATTTCAGTATAGTTGACATACAATGCTACCATAGTTTTAGGTGTACAACTTAGTGATTTGACAAGTTTATATGTTGTGCTATGTTTACCACAACTATCATCTAAAGAGGATCCCATCTTTTGTTCAAGGCTTATGAGGAATTAGTTCTCACATTTAGTTTATCCCGAAATACTGAGTTCATGCTCAGAGCATGGGGAGAGTTAATTCAAACCTGTTAAAAAATTAGTTCTTTTTCTTTCTTCAAGAACTTAAAGAATCAGAAATTCTCTGAAAGCAGTGTCCCCTAAGAATTGGTTACTATCCTTGCCAGATATTTTGGCTTTAACATTCAGAACATAGGAGGGAAATTTTTCAAGTAGGGATTACAGAAAATCAGATAGAATTTAAGTCTTTTGACTTTAGTGATTGAATATTCCCTCTCCTCTAAGAGGAATTATAACCATCCTAAGACTGAAAACACAGGAAGCAAAGCTGTTTAAAATTCATTTTGCCAATCCATATTCATGAATTTGTCTTTTAATGTCTACTCTGAGCCATCTGAGATTGCTTCTAATAGCAGTCCTCTTCAGAACTGATGGAAACCAGTTCTACTAAGTCATACTCATTCTTATCATTCTCCCTTTAATTCTTGACTCAGTCATTGGCTCACATCATCAAATGCTTTATCAGATATGCCAAGTGGAGGGAACTGACTCACCCCAGCATTCCCTGTATGAGGGCAGAGAATCATTTCCATTGATGTAATCTCTTAGGAGAATGGGTGGGAATTGGGTGGGCAAGATATACTTGAACATATTTGGTCCCCACAGTGAGAAATCACATAAAATGATGAAGAAAGTGGTGACAGATCAAGGATCCTTAAGATACCAAAACAGGAAAGGGACATCATAAATGTCAGTCATTTCAGATATTTCTGAAGTATCTTCAGGCATAATATGGTTTTGTATATATTTTGATTAAAATATAACATTGTTCAAAGCATTAGAATAACTAGACACAGGAGGAAAATATGCAAGTAGAAAAGAAAAACGTGAAATCAAAGTATAAGAGAGTGATTTCTGTGGTACTGTTCAATATTAGGAATATTTTTCTAACCTACCTGTTCTGTTCTAGAGTGTGCAGCAGCACTTGTAGAAACTCAATAATTTTGATTTCTGCTTTGTAGTATAATCACCTCTTAGACAAAATGTTTCTTTCCAGTGAAAATACAGTTAATGTAGTAGCAGTAGGTGTTAGTGTCCTACTGATGTTTCTGAGATTTCTAATAACAAGACTTTTATTGATTTCTCCTGGGAATGATGGCTATGCTTATGTTAATTGGCTCAAGAGAAAAATAGAAGAGTTATTTGGTGATGGGAGGTAAGGGAGGATAGAAGATTTTAGAATATCTCTTGTATATTACACAATGTCCTGGGTGTGTGAGTGATAACTCATTTAAGACAAGATATGTGGAAACATGAGCTTACTTAGATTTACTGAGTTGGAAAGAGTGAGAAGTTCCCCACAATTGTTGCAGATGCCCTCATTTACGGAGTGGGAGAGAGTGAACCCTATGTGTCAATATTTTTTTTTCTAGAAAAAGCAAGATGCTTTATGCAAGGGGGGCATTCCCATCAGCATTTGTGATTTGTCCCCATTTAACATTTTTTATCTATTAACTATTCCAAAGTTCACCACAAAGTGCGTGAAATGAGGGAATAAATAAAATATGTTTATGTAGCTTTTCTTTCCTTAAAACATACTGAATCTGACTGGACATAAGGCTTATGAGACCATGCTAAATTGTTGGACAAATAAAAAGCTTAAAAATGTTATTCTAGATTAAGTGTTGGAAATTATGGCCCATGGGTCAAATTTGGACCACTGCCTCTTCCTTAAATAAATTTATTGGAACACAGACACAACCATTTGTTTTTGTATTACCTATGGCATTTTGAGCTATAACAAGCAGTCGAATACTTGTAGCAGACACCATATGGCCCACAAAGTCTTTGGCCTGTTACATAAGAAGTTTGATGATGTTACCCTACATTAAGCAAGTTAGGTAGAAGATGATACAGTAGAAGAATCATTCACATCAATCTTCATCATCTTCATATATATTCAAGATGAAGGTTGCAAACTAAGTTAGTTGAAGTCCTGTATGTAGATCATTCCTCATACTCAGGGCTAAGTACATACTTGTGGGGCCAAATGTGAAGTGAATATGTAGGGGTTTTGGTTAACAAAATTATTAAGACTCCAGCCTTTCTCATACCCTTCCGAGAAATTAAAGAGAAAGGAACATTCCCAAAC